CTTTCACGACGCAGGATCGAATTTTTCCAGAAAAATATGAGACAGTTGAACGTGGAGTTCATAGAGACAAATGTGAGGGCCCAAAGATTAAATAACACGACTTGTCTATCGTACAATGGCGTTTCTGACGTCAAACGCAAAGCAGAAAATATAATTTGCGGACTAGAGCAGATGAAAAAACAGGCAACTGCTAAGGAACATGTTAAAATAGTTTTAAAATTTAGCATGCGCAGTTTTCTTTCTTCGTCTCTCGACATTGCTGTAGCTGGAGCAACACCTTTATTCCTGAATTTTGACTTGGCGATGATAAACATTTTGTAATTGAAATAAATGAACAGGAAGAGTAAAGCAAACAAGTCAGCCATAATAAAAACGTGGCTGAGTATTTTCAGGTTATTAAGAAACAACACGATCTGACCAGATAACAAAATCGTCAGAAATGCTTGAAGAGTTAAGAGCTTTTTCTTAGTTACCGATGTTCGATGGAATATTGGAAACGTTAAGCCCAAGAATCTTTCAATGTTCAGTGTGAAGAGGGCGGCCATGGAAAACGCATGGGGAAGAATACATATGTATATCTTTACTTGTTCACGGCGTTCACTACAATCTTCGTTAGACCAGAAAATTGTTGATAATATTATCACAGGATGAGTGATGGTGACTACAGCGAGATCAAAACAAGATAATAGTAGAATCGTAAAGTCGCATAGTTTCTTTCGCAGTTTTGACAACTTCCTTAGACTGATTATAACCACAGTATTCAGAAATATTCCTGCAAGCATGAAGATAACATTCAGAAGACACAGAAATAGCGTGTTAATAAAAGCGTTTGGATCCATTGTAAGTCTTGTGTCCTGTATAGATCTTTCCTGTTTTTCCTTTAAAACGCGTGTTCTGTCGCACGAAGAATATAAGATTAAATATGAAACCTTTCATATGCACCTGTACATTTATTGATTTAAAACAATGATTTCGTCATATTGAAGTAGGCCTCATAAGAATGCTCTTGTAAAACAAAGCAATAACGCACTGTTAATAAAAATTCGTATAGATTAGATGATCTGTCGCATTGCTATGTGTCAAGATATGACATTCAGTAAAAGTAATTTTGAAAACTTGCATGCAAATTTTTGAAGAGCAGGCGTATAACTAGGGACAGTTCACACAAACAATATAGATATGAACCAAGATCGATTCAAAGACGAATCAGGCCAGGTGTGGACCGAGATCGATCTAAACGAGGCCATTTTGAGAGATTCGCTGGAATCGGTTTACGTTTTAAAACGAAGCTAATTTCTTGCTTAGCTGTTGGGATCCTACACCATTCAGCTGTACGTGATACGCAATGATGTTGATGGCAATAGCGTTTTTGACATTTGTGCGCGGTCACAAATTTAATATTAGAAAAGTCCGATAACTGAACAAAGTGCGCCAAATTCGATCACAATGGATTTTATTATAATACGCGCATAATCTCCGAGCTAACGGCGCGAAGCGCCTTTCCTGAAGTAAGTCCGGGACGAGGGTACTAATTCCGCTAGGCTATTTACACCCGTGGAAGGGAAGGCATTAGCGAAGTCTAAAGTGGTTGGTTCATGGTGTATGGGTGGACCTCCTTACTGACCTCAAAAACATGGGAAAGAAAATTTCAATTTTCGTGAAATATAGGGCAAGTTTGCTTTGAATGTTTATGAATTTTTTTGCTTTATTTTTTTTCGTATAACATGCACTGCTTTCCGTCAAAATGTCTAATAGATGGATATGAATTTCCACTCGATAATTTCCATCTACAACATTCTTCAACTATTGAATGGAGTGAGATGGCAAATTAACTTACAGTGGTATTTAGTTGACAAAGACAGCATGATATTGATAATAAGGGACCATTCATTATTTATGACTGGGGGTGCATGGGCTGGCAAAAAAGGGGGTGGGTCATGAGGTATTTTTGATTGAAAAAGGGGGGCACCTAAAATTATTGGTTCAGAATGGGGGTCCAGTTATTTATTATAGTGGAGAAAAATTTGACATGTAACGATAATTATTGCTACCAAAGGGAGCGAACAAAGCAACAAATTTAATTCATGCCTATATAGCTAGCAAAATTCTGAATTTTAATCAACAGAAAGAGCCAATCAGATGGCTGAAATCTGACTCAGAGCGTGCAAAACTCATGCGTAAGACCGCTTTTCTGCGTGTTCATGTTCGAAGGCTTTGCTACTGAATGATATTTCAAAACTGGACTGTTAAACTTTCAATACATTACACTGCGCGAAGTTTGATAACTGGACTGTTATTTTAATTTAACAATTTTCTATTTTTCTGGCCAATTTTTACCTTAGTCACGTGATCGCTCTGATCACCCCTAGATCCGCCCCTGGGCCTGGGTTACATGAATAGGAATGAACTACAATGAACTACAAAGACCGCTAAACAGCTAGTGACTCGAACATTTAACTCAGGCTCGGATTTGACTCGGACTTGACACGGCAAACCAATAAACTCCTTACTAAATTAAACCATGTATAAAATACCTAGTATAAACTATGACATGCCAAACTTTCCCTGGACGTAATGTTGTTACATCACTACTTACTCGTTAATTAGGCCTATCTTTTTCATTAAAGTGATAATTGGAATATGACAAAAATTTATGGCAAGTTCATGGCAAAAGTTATAAAGGTAGATGTTCGATTCTTTTTCGTATTAGCTGCGCGCATTGCATTTTGGGTATTTGGCATTGCATTTTGGATATCTCAATTTTTGCGCGATCTGTGGGGAGTTCTGATCGCTAAAGCGATGAGGGGCTCGAATACAGGCTATCCGATTGGCTAATTCAAAACAATCCTGAATTCCTTTTGGCTGGATTTTTTTGATCGATCATACCGTTCAGGCTTTATTAGTGCACGGAAAGGTCTATGATTTTAAATTAACTAGATATAGCATTATAACTGTTGTATACTGTGGTGGATTGTGCGTCTGCATGTACGCACATACTATAATATCGGCTGGTACGCCGACTATAATAAAACGTATAATAATACGAGACGAAGTTTACATAATATTTCCGTCAATTTACATAAATACTGCGGCTTAATACAGGCAGTTTCAGTGTGTTTATACTATGTTTATGCTTCTTGTGACATGTGGACTTTATATATTAATCAGATAGCTACTTAATAACACTGTATTATTTATACCTATTTTAATACAAGAACCTCAATGTAGCATGGCCTTGTGTAATACGATCTCTACAACATGTATACAACAAGTAAAATGGATCATGTTACCATTATGAATACTTATTCATTGGCGCATGTTTCTGCTACGAATGAAACTCGAGGAGCAGTGGTCAGCAGTGAATTAAACATGGAAATTCTCTTCCTGCTTAACAATCAGTCAAATGTTTTAAACTGCATCACTATATTGCAAGACTTTTTGACCATCCATGTCAAAGGAAAAAATATGCGATTAAACAATAATTTTTAAAACGTCAAGTCATCCTTCTCAAAATTTGACATTGAGCGAAAAAGCAATTTTTAAGTCACATTTTTTCGTAAACAGAACACATATAAAAAATATTAATTTGCTTGGCAACTCCCCCCAGCTCCGCGTCAAAAGTACTCCCCTCCCCCTGTCAAAAGTACCCCCTCCCCAATGTTCAGCAACGAAATTTTTGACTAACGTACGAAAATTCCTAGATCCGCCCCTGCCGGGGCCAGGCCCGTAGCAACCGCTAATCATTCTTTTTCCAAAATCATGCAGAATCATTTAAATAATATACCTTTAAAATACTGACAATTGATTAATTTTAAGTGGCTACAGTACCCATGACAAACTGCAAAGAATGAAGATTATATTTCTCATACTTCCTGCAACTTCTCCAATATATTGATATAGCATTAAATACGCCTTCGCCCATTTATTGTAAATTTGGACATATTAAAATGCTGTTTTCTGACCATCAGAATTCTGTCAAATCTTCCCCAAAGTTCAGGAAATGGCATTTCAGAGACTCTAAATTTAAAAATTGCCTTGGGCCTTTGGTCCTCGAAGTTCTACTACGCACGTCCCAATTGTGCTCGGCAACGTTTGAGCAACTTCTTACGTTTGGAGCAACTTTTTTCAGCAACTTCAAGCAACTACACTCTTAGTAACGAAAAATGGTATATGACCCCCAGCTTTAGCCTCTTCGGCGCTAAATCAACTTAACCTTAACCCATTGCGCCCCAGTACTTATTTTTTTAATTGTTTAATGCCAGACGATTTTACTCGTCAACAGGAAACTCTGCAGCTTAATGGGTTGAATAGACATGCATACTAATTGTTGAAAGCACCAGTAAATGAAAGAGCTGATGCCTTTTACAACAAGTTTAAAGAGCGCATCTCTATACAGTACACTAGTACATTTATTATATTGTCGGTGGTGGTGGTGGTGGTGATGGTGGTGGTGTTGCTGGTGGTGGTGGTGGTGGTCGGTTATTATTTTTTTAGAATTCATGTGAAGGGGGTCATTGAATTTTTTTGTGATACTAGGGGTGGGACAGGACATTTTGTTTAGTTATTAATTGAATTTTTGCCAGCCCACCCCCGGTCATAAATAATGAATGGTCCCTAAATACATGGGCATGTTGGAAAAATCTTTTTATGACTGTCCTTGATAAACATGCCCATGTTAGGAAAAGACGGGTAAGAAATAAAACATCTGTGGCATGGATTACTAGGAATATCAGAAACAACTAAATGTTTGAAAGGGACCGTTTGAAAAGAAAAGCAATTTCGTCGGATTTAGGTGAAGACTGGAGCCAGTGTAAACATTATAGGAACAGTGTCAACATTGCAATGCATGAAGCTAAGAAAGTTTACTACAAAAGCAAATTTGACAAACATCAAAATAATCCTAAACAGTGTTGGAGGACGATTAATGATATCCTTGGGAGAAAAAAAGACACAACGATATTACGATAAAGAAAAGTAGGTTATCACGCATAGATCGCGCTTTAAGGTCGACAACGCTTTCTTGTAGCCGACGGTTTGTATCTTCTAACGTGCTCGCGGATTTTCCTTCTATTTTCCTCATCAGACCGCTTCGTTTTCTCGACTTCATCTTTCAGATCGTTAACTTCGTCGTGAACGAATTCAATCGAATCTTTCATCTGTTTTACATCTTTCTCAACGCATAGAATGCGCTCCTTTATTTCGTCTAGACTTTCCAATTCCACCATCATACATTTCATTTCAAACATTTTGTCCATTTTATTCATATCTTGCTCTTTTTGATCGTTTGTATTATCCTCTTTTCTATTTTTACTCATGTTTGCCTTATCATTCGTTTGTATTATCCTCTTTTCTATTTTTACTCATGTTTGCCTTATCACTGGAAAATATTTGGGTAGATTTTGGCCCTTTTTTTCGCTGTCTTTCAAAGCATGTTGTCTTGTCAACGAAACTTCACAGAATATTACTAATTTCAGTGATGCTCTTTCAAGCTGTGGTGTAATGTTTGTCTAGATCAAAATCTTGTTCATTAGGTAATAGGTCCATTGTTGCATGCATGGTTATAGACAGGATCTTATTTTCCTCAATATACCAATTCGCTGAGATAGTTTTTTTCAAATTCTCGACTTGAGAGGTGAACGAAAGGTCCTGGTCGATTTCTGCACCCAATAGCTTACCGCTGGATGCAAGTTCAAGGTCGGATCAGTTTATATAGTTAAACAAATCTCATCAATCCTTAAAGCTGGACGCTTACCATACAGTTATAGTCTCGTCTCCAAAAACGATTACGCCAGGATCATGCGTGAAAACATCCTATAAGGCTACGTTTTATAAAGCACAAAGCGACGATAACTAGTTGACTGCGTATCCACGTATCCGTTGCGCTAAAAATATAGACCTATATAGCATGACAATTTGATCTTTGTATAGTAATGCTAATCTAACTGTATGCCTCGTTCTCAAAATAACTACTTGACTGCGTACCCACGTATCCGCTAAAATACGGAGCTATCTATAGCATGACAATTTGATCTATTGATGCTTATCTAACTGTATGCCTTGTTCTCCAAATAACGACTTGACTGCGTATCCGTGCATGACAATTTAATATATTAATGCTAAGCCACTGTATGCCTTGCTCGTAGCTATACCTTCACTACCATGGGATTTCAATCTATCAATCTATTTATTATTAATCTATTGATAGTAAACATAGATGTATTAATACATCGTATCCATGATGTTTGAAAGGCATAGCTTAAAAAATGGACGGGTATTCTGCAATCGCTCCGGAAGATATTGCAATGTTTGGTCAGAATTATGGAATCAAGAACAATTAAACTTACAAAAAGTTTAGAAATGAGTTACAAAAAAGAGTTACAAAAGCGAGAAAAGCAAGTGAAAATGGCGAATATAACTTAATAAAATATGTCAGGTAATGTCTGAGGCAAGGACTGTTAAGTGTAGCATACCTGAAGGTTCAAACCTAGGCCCTTTACATAAATGACCTACTAAATTGTCTGAGTTCGTCTTCAGGAAGTACGTTTGCTGATGACACAAACGGCATTTCAACTCACGGTGATACTGGCAATGAAATACAAGAACGCCTAAAGGAAGACTTAGAAAATGTGCATCAAAGGCTACTTGTAAACAAACTTACACTCAACAAACAAAAAACTGAATATATGATTATCGGATCACGACAAAGCATATCAAATAGAATAGGGGATCCTAAAATTGAACTCGGTGAGTCAGAAATTAAACGTGTTCGATCGCAAATCAAAAACTCTAGTCGCCATTATTGATGAGCGTCTTTCATGGATCGACCAAATTCAAAATATTGTAACGAAAGTTTCAAAAGGAATAGGGATGATGCGAAGAATTAAACAGTTTGTTCCAAATCAACATATTATTGAGAAGATCAATGCCATTGTGTTGCCACACTTTGATTATTGTAGCTTGGTATGGGGCAACTGTTACGAATATCTAATTGTATTACAAAAATTACAAAATAGAGCAGCGCGAATTTTCACTGGTAGCACATAGCCTACGATGTAAGCTCTAGCTGACAACGCTTTAAAAGAGTTAAACTGGCAACCACTAAAAACGCGATACAAAAACAATAAGACGACTTCTTGCATAAACTAATTAAGAAATGACACACTGCCATCATCTTTAACAAACATGTTCAAAATGACAAATAATGATAGGTATAATTTTCCAAGTATGATAACTATACACTTGAAAAGCCGGAAACAAACTTTATAAAAGAGCTTTAGTTACTCTGCTGCATCACCGTTTGGAACAGCTTGCCCACTGCAGCTAAAGAAAAAGCCATTGGCCAAAACAAAATTTAAATGTATTCTTGACGGTACATGATTTCAGTGCTATACAGAGTTTATACTTGTTTGTAAATATTTTTGTCTAAGTTTTAATATGTATGTAATATTAGGACATTTTTATCAGTGTGATGGATGTAAACGGCCCCTTGAAGAGCATGCGTGTATGAGCTTATTGAGACCTGAAGGGTTACCGTTAAATAATAATAATAATAATAATAATAATAATAATAATAATAATAATAATAATATTTGAAAGCTCTCACCTTGTCAATCTGGCAAAATATTATCGTTGCTTCCTATATACTCTGATTTTATGCACAATTAGGCTATATAAGACAAAAGCCACGTCAAAAGTATATGCACGAAGATAAACGCGACGACAAAAGTAAAAGAAATATTGCACACTGGAGCCACTGAACCAATGCGGCATAGTGTAACACATATTAAGACAACCAGGACTAAAGTAGAGTGAATATGGGTGCATATAATTATTTGTGAATTTATGAGTTCGAGACATATTGCAAGCTTTCCCCTTGACAACTATTAAAATGACGAAACCAATGTGACATACAGGTGTATAATGGGTTAATTAAGGCACACTGACAGCATTTGAGGATGGTATTTTATAAGAAAAAAACTTATTCACCTTTAAATATTGAGATCCAAAAAGTCTCTGGATAAGACGCGACGTTTCAAGGCATGAAAAGAACAGTTCTTCGCAGTGATATTTGCTAATATGTTGTTTAAAAGCACGTGCGTAGATCTATATGAACAACTGGAGTTACAGTTTGTGCTCATCCGACAAACATTGCAATCTCTTGTGCTCATGCGACTAACATTGCAATCTAGGTATATGAATGTGTCTAATCCGCCAACGGGCTAGCCATAAAAACTGTCATAATGTTTCAAATTATTTTCATTACTTTGTGATATCATATGTTGTGTGTTTGAATTTTGACAAAACATCTGAAAAAGTTTGATGACGCAGACTTCCTGAGATCTTATTATAAACTGTTTGCAAAAATCTTGCCACCTTCAGCCTCACAATTGTACCTGGGACAAATAAAGTTGCTGTTGCTGTATCAGCTGGTGGTCCACGTTTGTTGATTACCATTAAGCTTTACGGAATCTTCGATATGGCTGGGACGTTATTCTTGACACGTTTGTAGGCTAGGCAACGTTTCGCTATTTTTGCGTTTTCGTAGAAGGGGACCCATTGAAGACGGTTAAAAAGCTTGACAGTGAAGTCCTGACCATGGGATTTACAAATTACTCGATCTTGTAGCTCTTTTTTTCATATTTCAAACTTGTCCGAGATTCTCTCTATTCCAGCTAGTCCGGACAGTCCTGACATAGTTTAAGATAGGTTTCATTATACCGTTATAATATAATAGCCTTTGCTGCATGGTTAAACAGGATTTTATTTTCTTCAATATACCAATTCGCTGAGATAGTTTTTGGCAAATGTTCACGACGTGAGAAGTGAACGAATGATCATGGTCGATTTCTCCGCTCGATAGCTTATAACACTGGATACAAGTTCAAGATCGGATGCGTTCGGAGATAAGTTCATCAGTCTCACCATCAATCCTTTAAGCCGGACGCTTACCAGTTATACGTATTGCATTGGTTTTCCATAATTAAATCGATGCATTTAGGCAATCCAGCAGCTTTCCAAGTGAGAAATAATTCATTGATGAAGTCAATGTGGCATCATCAGCATACAGATCAATTTTTGATGAAGTGACGTGTAAATCATTAATAAAGATAATAAACAGCAAGGGACAGAGTTCCTGGTATAGAAACAGTTGTTGTATAGGAATATACGCTTTAAAAGGAGAAACGTGAAAGAATTACACGACACAAGACAATGAATCCAGACACTTTTATTAACACGCTATTTCTGTGTCTTGTGAATGTTTCCTTCATGGTTGCTGGAATATTTCTGAATACTGTGGTTATAATCAGTCTAAGGAGGTCGTCACAACTTCGAAAGAAACTATGCCACTTTACGATTCTTGTTTTATCTTGTTTTGATCTGGCTGTAGTCACCATCACTCATCCTGTCATAATATTATCAACAATATTTTGATCTAAGGGAGGCCGTAGTGAACTCTTTGAACAGATAAGGAATCACATATCTGGTAATCTTTATGTGTTTTCCACGACAGCGCTCTTGACCCTGAACATTGAAAGACTCTTGCACTTAACATTTCCAATTTTCCATCGAACATCAGTCACTAAGAAAAGGCTTCTAATTGTTCAAGCATTTTTGACGATTTTCGTATCCAGTCTGATCACATCGTTGGAGGTCAGTAATCTAAAGATACTGGCGCACATTTTGGTTATGGTTTACATTTCTATTTTGCTTTCGCTGTTTATTTACTTCAACTACAAAATGTTCACCATTGCCAAGTCAAAACGCAGGGATAAAGAACTTGTCTCAACTACAGCAACGTCGAGAGTTGAAGGAAGAAAAGAGCGCACGCTAAATTTTAAAACTATTTCTATATGTTCTTTGGCGGTTGCCTGTTTTTTTATTTGCTATTGTCCGGAAATTATACATTCTGCTTTGCGTTTGACGTCAGAAGCGCCATTGAACGATAGAGACGTCGTGTTGTTTAGGCAGTGGTCCAACACATTTGTCTCTATGAACTCGACGTTCAACTATCTCATATTTTTCTGGAAAAATTCGATCTTGCATCGTGAAGGAATGAACATAGTGAAGGGCTTGTGGACAGCAAAATCTTAACTGGGTGTTTTAAGCCACATTTGTTGTATAGTTTATTATATTGAACAGCAGACCCACATGCTTTTCAGGATAACGGGTTTTCTGTTACTTTAAGAGAGTAGGAAAGTATATACTATTCCAACGCAGTTGTTTTATACGAATATATCTATTTTCCATTTTACGCTGAGGGACGGTAAGAATTCTAATATTTGTATTTGGTTATACGCTGAACATGAAATGAAAT